CCTCCCTTCCTCTCTCCATTTCTCTCTCATTTTTCCTTCAATCTCTCTCATTTTCTCCTTCAATTTGTCTCTCCCTCTTTCCCTCCTTACCTATATTCTCCCCTTCATTCCATTCTTCCATTCATTCTTCATGCCTCCTCTCTTCATTCAGTTTGTTCTCCCCCCCCCACCCTCCCTCCATACCTCCCTTCCTGTCACTCTACCTTTGATCCTTCCCTCCCTCTTTCCTCCCTTTTCCCTCCTTCTACCGTCCTATCTCCCTTTCCTGTCCCCTTTCATTCATTCTCTCCTTCTTTCCTCTCACCATAATTTCTTCTACTTTCTTCCATCTTTCTTTCCATACCGAACCTCCCTCCCTCTTCTCTCTCCCTCCTCCCTCCATTTTTTTTCCCTTCCTTTCTCCCCCTTCCTCCTTCCTCCCTCCTCCCTCCACCCTCCTCCTTCCTCCCTCCTTCCCACCCTCCCTCCTTCTCCCCTTCCCCCCTCCCACCCTTCCCCCTTCCTCCCTCCCTCCCTCCCTCCTCCCTCCTTCTCCTTCCCTCCATCCACGAAATACCAGAGTTCTAAAACAGTCGTAGTATTTTTTATAGCTTCAGTTTGGGCTAAATATACACACACACGAAGGGGGGGGGGGGGGGGTAAGAAGGGGAGGGAGAGGGAGGAGGAGGAGGAGGAGAAGGAGAGGGAGGGGAGGAGGAGGAGGAGGAGAGGAGAGGAAGGAGTAGGAGAAGGAGAAGGAGAAGGAGAGGAGGAGGAGAAGGAAAGGAGGAAGAGGAAATGAGGAAAGAGAAGGAGAAGGAAAGGGGAGAAGGAGGAGGAGAAGGAGGAGGAGAGGAGGAGGAAAGGAAGGGAGGGGAGGAGAGAACGGGAAGAGGGGGAATGGAGGGACTGGGGGGGGGAGAAGGAGCATGAAGAAGAGCATGGAAAAGAGAGAAGAAGGGGGGGGAGGGGATGGAATGAGAAGAAGGAAAGGTAAGAAATGCGAGGGAAGGAGGAAAGCGAGTGAAAAGATGGGAGGAAGAAGGAAAACGGAAGGAAGAAAGAGAGAGGCGGAGGAAGAGACAGGGAGGAATGGAGAAGGAGGATGATGGTGAGGAAGACAGGGAGGAATCAAGAAGGAGGATGCGGATGAGGAGAATGAGGAGAGGGATGGAGGAAGGGAGGAGTGGGAGGCAAAAGGGAAGGAAGAAGAAAGAGAAAGGAGAGAGGAGGTAAGGAGGAAGGGAGAGGGAAGAGGAGGCAAGTGAGAAGGAGGGAAGGGAAAGGAGGATGGAGAAGAAGAGGAAAGAAAAGGAGGAAGAAAGAAAGGAAGAGGAGTAAAAATAAGGAGGAGCACGAGGAGGAGGGAAGGAGGAGGGAAGTGAATGAAGGGGGGGGGAGGGTAAAGGGGGATGGGGTAGGAGAAGGGAATGAGGGGGTTGGGGGGGGGGTTCCCTACCTGGGGCCCGCCGTTACAAGGTAAATATCAGAAATAGAGTTAATATATAAAGAAGTATGTTGGGATCTTCGGCATTTTTCTTCTATTCTCTCTTTTGTCTCTTTCTGTCTCTTCCTTTTCATTATCTGTTTGTCTTCGTTTGCCGCCGCGTGTCTCTCTGTCTGTTTGTCTGTCTGTCTGTCTGTCTGTCTCTCTCTCTCCATTTCTCCCTCCCAATCTATCTCTCCCTCTCTTCCTCTCTGCTTGCCTCTCTTTCTCTTTCTCTTTCTCACCTTCTCTTTTTCCCTTTCTCCCTCCCCCTTCCCCTTTTCTCTCTCTGCCCACTCCTCCACTCTCTCTCCCTCCCTCCCCCTCCCTTCCTCTCCTTCCTTCCTCCTCCCTCCTCTCCTGCCCTCCCTCCCTCCCTCCCTCCCTCCCTCCCTCCCTCCCTCCCTTCCTCCCTCCCTCCCCCTTCCCTTCCCTTCCCTCCTCCCCCCTTCCCTCCCTCCCTCCCTTCCCTTCCCTCCCTCCCTCCCTCCCTTCCCTCCCTCCCTCCCTCCCTCCCTCCCTCCCTTCTTCCCTCCCTTCCCTCTCCCTCTCTCTCCCTTTGTACAATCAACATTCTCTTTATTCGAGTTCAAATAGCTTACTATCTGACATCAAAGAAGTTCGGCAAATGCATCACTCTATTTTGGTTTATCATTTCGAGATTGTTTGAAGATGGATCCATTCGAAAATGAATAAAAAGTCCACTCTAAAATAAATAAATAAATAAATAAATAAATAAATAAAATAATCAATAAAATATAATGAAATCCACTAGAAAAAAAACGAAACAAAAAGCAGTCGAGTAAAATATGTAAGTGCGTTTTAAATGCGTAAACAACGGACGAAAATAAACACACGAACAAAACTCGGCCGCGTTCTGTAAAGCCGCGAAACAAAACAGAACAAACAAACAGAATAAAATACGAGGCGTGAGTCACTCTTCTTCTCTTCTCCTATCTGTCAAAACTTCACAAAAAAAAAAGAAAATAAATAAACAAGATAAAAAAAAGAAAATAAAAATGTTAAAACGCCCGA